TCCCCCCAACCAATGCTAAAGGATGGTCAGTGAGCTTATATAGGAGGCACTAAAAATCCAAGATTTTGTTAAAGTTGGAGAAGTCATCCTATAAATGGGTCATTTCTGTGACAATCTTGACACTAGGCAAAAATGGCATTTGCTGAATCTTTCTTTTTTTTTTTAAACAATATTCTACTTAAATTTTTTGAGTTGCTTTCCAAATTGGAATCTCAGCCCAGGGAGTTTGAAGGTAAAAGTTGTTTCAAAAGCAGAGAGTGGGATCCAGATTGTTTGGGCAACACGGTCTGTCATGGTAGTATCCATTTCAACTCCACTGACTTCTTCCTTCCTCTTCCGTGGCTGTTCTTCCTCTCTCATTGCTCTCTCTGGGGACTTCCATGCAGGACATCCCCGGATTAGGTGACGACGGTTATGGAACAAAGACTCTGAGTAAGTTTCCAGGAATGGTCACTATAACTTTTCTTTTCTTTTCCTTTTGAGTTTGGCTTTTGTTCCTTTCCTTGAGGGCCTTTCACTCCTAGCATGCACAAGATACGAGTTTTATTTGTTACCTAGCTGTGAATGCTCCTACAAAGTAATTTTTGATCGTTTTGTTCTGCATGTCAGCATTTAAAAGCAAAGTGTGTCAGGCACTCTAACTTCTGTTGCAGTTAACACCTTCCCTTTCTTACCATGTGATCTAATCAACCTGGTTCTGATGCCCCTCATTGCATCACTTGCTCTGCTGCCTAATACCTCCCAGAGAGCAAGAAACCATGTTGAAAGAAAGGGTGAGCTCAATGTTCTAAACAGCAAAGTAAAAGTGTAATTTATGTGCTTCCTTCTGCCTTTTCACATGGAAATATTTAATGACCTTGCCAAGTTCCATAATTGGGTGGTACTTTGCTATTAGTAAAGGAGCTATTTTGTACTACAAAGGAACATGCATTCTCAAAAAGTAAAGCTATTTGATCTTCCATGAATAATTCTTTATTAACCTGATTTTCTTCTGACTTGCAGTGGTCCTGCTTGAAACGTTTGTATGATAAAATTCTAGATATTTATTAATGTCTTCCTATCAGTGATTCATTGACTACATTATGTAATTGGGTCTTCATTTTATAGTAGAGTAAAAAATATAGTAAGCCTTTACATTTTCTAGCTATTCATGCCTTTAGTCAATTAAAAATAATCATCCTGTGAGCCAATATACTGTGTCTTTTCTTAAATACTAACCTTGTGTGTAGGCACCAATGAAATAACAGAATGTTGTGTCTTTTGCAACTGTATCACATGTTCAACTTTGTTTTAACAGCTATAGGCAGTATTTTCAGAACCTGCTCATTTCATTTGTATAGAACAAAATAGCATTGAGTTGGACTTTTTTTCAAGGGTTGTTATATAAACAGGTGTAATGATACCTTTCATAATTCAAATGGTTAATCCGGACTCTTTCTAAGATACATATATACAGTTAACAAAATCTGATCAAGAGTACTGATCTCCCTGAAGATGGAAACTTTATCTTTGAGTCTCTATATAGAATATGACATGGACATGAATTTTTTCTTGAATTTGTGATCAAATATTGACTTCAACATTATCTGGATAGCATCAAGCACCATCAGAATTTGTAAAATTTCAATTTAGAAAAAGTATTTTAATGTTAATAAATGAACACCAAAAACTAGTTCCTATTGGAGTGTTAAAAATATGCATGATGCCCTTTTAAATCAAGATCGTGTAAATGTTTGTTTACTCTTTATAAAAGAACAGAGTTTAGTAAAGTTATTTGCCAGTTAATGCTACTGTTAACTATAATGTAGACTTCAGCTAGAACATACTTTTAATTTCTCTTTATCTATAAGTGGAGAGATTCTATTATACAATATCTTGATGCAAAGAAGGATAAGTTGATTCTAAAAAAAGCACTGCATGTTTCTAAATTTCTCCAAAAATGTAGCATCATTCTAAATTATGTAAAGGAAAAAAATGAAAAAAAAAACTTGTTATCCCCAATTTGAGGTACTTAAGATGATAATGTCGATGAAGATCCACCAGTATTGCGATGGATGTGCCTTAACTTTCTTTGCTTAAAAGAAAACAAATTTGCACAGATTAATTCATGCTGCCTTTTTCCTAATGTCTCTTTGCTCTTGTGAAATATGTGTCTAAATAAACAACACAGTTCTGGTCACAGAACAACATGAGAGAAGTAATTCATGTGAATTTAATTCATACTTTGGTTACTAGTTTCATGCACTAAAAGTAGTCCATCTGCTTGGCAGGACTATATTATATCAAATGCATTTTAGACACTTTTTAGTATTAAAGAACAATGTTAAATAATCTTTTCCTCTCTCTGAAAATATACAACAGTTGTTTTTGTTTTGGCCACAGACCACCTGTGGTTTCTAGAAAAAGACAGTGAGCAGGAAAGAGAGAAACCACCCCCAAGGGTGATGGTCACACCACAGTCCCTTCTCCATTCTCCCCTTGGGATTTTGGGTATACACACATGTGCCTAGCACAATTTTTCAAGCTATCCAGTCTAGGATTTAAACTGCAGTTGGCCATGTGGGAGTCCAGCGCTTTCACCACCATGCCACCTGCTGGCCCCAACAGTTGGCACTTAAAAAAAAAAAAAGTTATTATTGATAGCTTCAGAAAGCAAATCAGGTGGCATGGTGATTAAGGGCACTGGACTCCCACATGGCCAACCACACTTTGAGTCCCAGACCTGGTGGCTTGCTTTATCACTTTCTCTCTGGTCACATTAAAATAAGTAAAATAAATAAAGTTAAAATCATTCTTTAAAAAAAATCAAATTGCCACGTATATTTCATTTAAGTGATATACAAAGTAATTAATAAGCTGAAGAATTTTTCTATAATGTAACAAATTGTACAGATGAGAGAAAATGATCATGTAGATAAAAGCTCTGATTCAGTCATATAACATATACATCCTTTTCCTGTTAACCGAAAAAAAAAAATTTTATGAAAGAACAATTTGTGTTATTTCCATACAGACTTTGACCTATACTGTGTATCAGGCCATTTATCTCCAGCCTGTTCCATTCCTACAGAATCCACTAGCTATCGAAGCAAGGGTATTAAAATCAAAACAAAATTGATTCATAAGACACTTTTCAGTGACTCATTGCTTCTTCCAAGGTATTCTACTCAGTCACTGAAACAGGAAAGATCTTCAAGAATCCCTTTTCATTCCAAGAATTAGTTGACGAAGTATTTAAGTAGAAATAAAATTCAAGGGATTCCAAGGATCAATTGGCAATTTGAAATGGAGTGTTCCTGCAAAGTACTTAAGGGCTAAAACAGAGAAACAAAAAAGCCTGCAAGAAAGCAGTGCCTACACACCAGAAGCTCTGAATTTATTGCCAAGAAACCAATCTGCGGAGACATAGGGCATTTGTAACAAGACTCTGGAAAAGGCAGAACTAATATGAATGGGTCATGGTATCATACCAAAAAAAAAAAAAAAAAAACTGCTTAGCTTAACACTGTGCATTTTTCATAATAAAGATACCTTCTTCACTGCTAATAAGGAGAAACAGTAGTCAGGCAGCAAGCAGGTTCTGTGAAATGGAGATAAAGTTTTCATCTTCTTTAACTTACCTGTTTTCTTAAAGCAGTCTCCTCTGCGGCCTTTTACTTGCCTTTTGCTCACATTTCTAGTGCCTTGCATGAGTGTATTCCTTTCCGTTTTTGGCTGCTCGCCAGTGCTTGGTATCTCTTTAATTTGCTGTGCTGTTCTTGCAGAACATGTTTCTTCTAATGCCAGCGATAGCGAAAGTAGCTACCGTAAGTTATTGCTTTGGTTTGCGGTTCTTTCCTTTGCAATTGCTCCATTGCCTGTGATGGTCATTTCAGGGGTTTTTTTGTTGTTGTTGTTGTTTTCAATTGCTGCCTTTTATCATTCTTATTCAAAGCAAATGGCTTGACATGAAATCATCATTTGATGTGGAAAGATACAAAAGACACTAGGGCCACGAGTGGACCCTTAATGCTATTTGTGCGAGCAGTATCAGTCTTGATAAACCATTCCAATCTCTCATGGTCGTAACCCAATGACTCGAGTCTCACAAAGATGATGCGGGAAAAGTTCAAGGTGGTGGACTTTGACATTCTACCCCTGAAAATAATTTAAACTCCCTACAGGAGGGTTGAAAAGTCATCAAGGTTTGATTTTTCAATCTCATTTTGCCTTTTTCTTTCTATTCTTTGGCTCCCTTTTATAAGATAAATCTCTAAAATTATAGTGTTCTTTTTAAATCAGGAGTGAATCTTTTCTATCACTTTCTCTTTGATACTATTTTAAGGGAGATACTATAGTATATTTAACTTTATTGTTTTGATGGTTGGGGAAGTGATGAAAAAGTTTCATCCTCTAATCTTGAAAGAAACTCACTTTCTTTTTTAAGTGAACAAATCTTG